GCATCCTGCTTCACACACACAGACCCATACTTGCCGCATAATTAAATTCCCAAGCCCTGGCTGAGTATATAATGGTCTTTTCCTACCAAGAGGGGCAGTTGGACCTCCCAGCTTGTGCCCCTGCAAAGGACCAAGAGAAAGTCCTCCTCTGTAGGTCTTAAAATTTGAGCTGGCTTGTATATTTGTTTTAAAGATTATTCTGCTATTTTACCAGTTGGCTCTGGCAGGACTCCCAGCGACCTTTGGCTTCGAGAAGGCTCTGGTTGGTGGCCTGGAGTTGGGTCCATAGTCCATGGCTTTCCGCTCTGGCTGCCATCTCTGTTTTAGCCATGGCTTCCATGCGTTGCTGCATGGAGGTGGACACGGCCTTTACTGCGGATGTTTGGTTCTGTAGCTCCAGCTGGCATTGCTCCAGTTTGACAGCTGGGTCCGAAAACTTGGCTGATAGATATAAGCCCAAAAAAGTAAAGAATAATACCCATGGGATAGCATGGGCAATGCAGCACCCAAGGATCAATTTCTTCCCTTTGCCCTGGTTCATGTTGTCTCTGATGTCTCCTGGAAATCTGGGCACAGGGAGATAGGAAGCCTTCCCATCCATCCAAAATTCAGAGATCCCCAGACAGCTTTGGTTTCTGCCCTAGAGCAAGAACCGTTCTGTCCGGCTGAAATTTGCTGAAAAGAAGGCACCCGCCTCTTGCATGATGTTTTTTATCCTGTCGCTTCCTCCTTTTCTGAGAATCCACATGCTTTGGAGAGAAAAGGGCATGCACCAAGCCAGCAGGGGGACAGGAACATTAGGAAACGAAACTTAACCATCTTGCCAATGTTTTGCTTTCTTAAAAAAAGTATTTTGTGCAATGCAAAGCACAAAGCAGAATGCAAAACAAATCAAAAGCTGGTTTCTTCTTCTTTTTTAATATTCTGAACTGTGCCATATCTTATCTCATCAGGCCGCATCTCCTTTATTATCTGAAATGCTTGGGAGCAAAAATGTTTCAGATTTGGGATCCCCCCCCCCGATCTTGGAATATTTGCATCCACATCATGACATGGGGCCCAAGACTAAACACAAAATTTCTCTCTGTTTTGTATACACCTTATATTCCCAGCCTGAAAGTAATGTTATAGACAATATTTTAAATAATTTTGGTCGTGAAACAAAGTCAGGATACACTGAACTATTGAACCATAGAAAGCAAAAGTGTCACTCTCTCAGCCAACCCTGTGGACCACTTTAGATTTTGGAGTAAAGGTTGACCAGAAGTGTTTTGGAGTTTGGATTTTTTCAGATTTTGAAATATTTGCATCTACATAAGGAGATATCTTGGAGATGGGGCCTAAGTCTAAACACAAAATGCATGTATGTTTCGTCTACAGCAAGACTGAAAGTAATTTCATACACAATATTTTAAATAATTTTGTGCAAAGGGGTCACTATCTCTGCCACCCATGTGGACAATTTTGGATTTTGAAGTAAAGGCTGAGTCTCCCTTATTGGGGCCAGAAGTCTTTTGAATTTTGGATTTTTTCAGATTTTGGAATATTTGCATCTACATAAGGAGATACCTTGGAGATGGAACCCAAGCCTAAACATGAAATTCATTTATGTTCCATATACATCTGATACTCATAGCCTGAAGATAGTTTTATACAATATTTTAAATAATTTTGTGCCTGAAACAAAGTTTGTGTACACTGAACCATCAGAAAGTAAAGTGGTCACTATCACAGCCACCCATGTAGACAATTTTATTTTTTGGAATGTTTTGGATTTTGGAATTCCAGATAAGAGTGACTCAACCTGTATTATTATTATTATTATTATTATTATTAGATTTATATCCTGCCTTTCTTGCAAAATCATCATAATCCTTATCATCATTGTCACAATCTTGTCCTTTTTCTGTTTTGGGACACCAGGCAGCTTGCAACAGTTAAAATAAACAGTTAAAATACAAAAGTTACAAAGCAATTAAAGCATTGCAAACATGGAAACAAATTGAAACAGCAATAACAAAAGTCCATAAAAAGGAAGAAAGGAGGAAGGGGAGGGGGACGAAAAGAATGGAGCAACACTTTTAAGACTAATTGGTTTTTATTTTTGCATGAGCTTTCGTGGGTATAAACCAACTTCTGTGAGTCCACTATCAAGTGGTATTAAGGTTACAAAGGTTAACTTTGAGGGATAGAAGTGGGATAGAAAAGAATAGGATCCAGAAAAATGTAAATGTGAATAGGATCCAGAAAAATGTAAATCATGTCCATCTCCACTTAAAATTATAGATTTCTTTAAATATCTGAAGAGATGTCATGGAGAAGATGGGGTGAGCTTTTTTTCTGCTGCTCCAGAGACTAGAATGAGAAGCACTGGATTCAAATCGTGAGATAAGTGCTTCTATGGAAACACTATGGTCCAAAACACACTGCAGGAATAATCCAGTTTGAGTCCACTTTAACTGCCCTGCCTCAATGCTAAGGAATTTTGTGAACTGTAGTTTTATGAGATATTTAATCTTCTCTGTGAGAGAGCTCTGGTGCCACAATAAACTACAGTTCCCAGGATTTCCTAGCACTGACGCAGGGCAGTTAAAACAGTCTCAAACTGGACTATTTCTGCAATGTGTTTTGGACCTAGGAAAAACTGTAAGAGGCTGCATCTGTACTACAGAATGAATACAGTTTGACACCGCTTTAACTTCCACAGCTCAATGCTATGGAATTCTAGGATTTGTAGTTTTGTGAGCTATTTAGCCTTCTCTCTCAGAGAGCTCTTGTGCCCCAAGAAACTACAAATCCCAGGATTCCATAGCATGGAACAATGGCAGTCAAGGCGGTGTCAAACTGCATTAGTTCTGAATCATGGTTGCAGCCTACAAGGGCTGTTCTTACAATGGCATGGATTGCCTTGGTGAGTGGTAGACTCTCCATCTTTGGAAATCTTTAAACAGAGGTTGGATGGGCATCTCTTGGGAACGGTGTAGTCCTATC